TGGTCCTCCAAAATCAACATGGACACGACTCCATGGCTTGTCAGGTAAAATCTATGTATGCGGATCTCTCGGTGGATTGTTTCTCACGGCCTGATACAACTCATAGCCAGTCATTGCGGCCTCTATCTGAGCGTTCGCGCTTTCGTTTGGACGATTCCAGCATGCGGTGCATGCAATACCTTTAATACCTGCTGTTGTAAAGAAGCGAGTATAATGACTCTGTTACACCACAATAAACACTCTTTATTATGTGAAAGAGCCTCTCTTCGCGTCCAATACGGCTGGAGTATGGGGTCAGTATTTTTGTAAGTCCATCCATGTAGCACATTAAATAAAACCTTTTGTAGTACTGGGTCTTTTTTAGTCTCAGAAGCAATTTTTGCTGGATCCAAGTTGAATCCAGAGGGAGATTCCTCCAAAAGTACCACATCTGCTAACAAATCTATCCCTCACACTTCAGCTGCGTTAACGGAAGTCCAACGGCTGAGAGCATCCGCATTACCAAATCATTTTCTGGGTCTGTATTTTATGGCATATTCATAACACGCCAATTTCAGAGACCATCGCAACATTCTAGGTGAAATCTGATCCGGAATATGTTTATTCGGATTAAATAATCCGATTAATGGTTTATGATCTGTAATGATACAAAACTTCCTTCCTAGTAAAAATTCATGAAATTTTGTAATCCCGAAAATTATGGCTAAAGCTTCTTTATCAATTTGTCCATACCATCGCTTGTGGGGTTGTAACATTCTGGATGCCACCATCACTGGTCGTTCTGACCCATTCTCCACTACATGGGCAATTATTGCACCTATACCATATTCTGATGCATCACAGATTAACAATAACTCTCTAAGTCATATCCAACTAAGGTTAAATCTGATGACAACAAATCCTTGGCTTTATCAAATGCAACCTGCTCCAGCAAACCCCATACCCAAGGTTTCTTTGCTTCCAGCAATCGATACAATGGCTCCAGTATTGTAGCTTTGTTCATAATTAATTTTTTATAAAAATTGTATAACCCTAAAAATGCCCGTAGCTCTCCTTTGTTCATAGGTGCTGGTTTCTCCTTTATCTCTTTCACTTTAATAGGTGATGGGTGCAATCCCTCAGCATCAATCATATGTCCTAAAAAACTTATTTGATTTGACGCAAACACACATTTGTTCAGATTTAACTGAAATCCCATTGCATTTAGTTTGGTCATGACCACCCTTAGTTTTCATGCTCCTCCTTATTCTTTCCACTAACAGCGACATCATCCAATAGACACGCTACTCCTTCAATACCTGCAAGTGCAGTGGACATCACATGCTGGAAGATTCCAGGAGCTGCATTTAATCCAAATACTAGCCGGATCATCCTCATTAACCCTAATGGAGTATTCAGTGTTAACAACATAGCTGTGTCCTCGTCCACTTTCATCTGCATGTAAGCCTGTTTTAAGTCAATCTTACTGAAAATTCTTCCACCACTTAATTTCACAAAGGCCTCATTAGCAGCTGGTAATGGAAATGTATCAGTCTCTATGGCTAGATTAACAGTTGACCTGTAGTCACCACATATTCGAAGTGAGCCATCATCCTTTTTTACAATTCTTAATGGAGTAGCCCATTTAGAGTATTTTACAGGTGTTAATATACCATGCATCTTAATTGTTCCTCAACTTGTTTTATCAGAGGGAATTCATAAACCGTGGCAAGGCATCACGCACATCATCGCACATTTAACGACACTTGAGGTCCCTTATACTCTCAAAGTCCTTCTTTGAATAACTCAGGAAAAGATTTTAATAATTCATCAACGTTCTCATCATCTGTCCAGCATATGCCAGCTATCTCTAAGCCCAAAATTTTAAACCAGTTTCTTCCTAAAAGGCTAACGCCCATGACCAGAAACAAGCAGTAGCTCACATTGTGCTTCCTTGTTTCTGCGGCTTCCAGAGCACACAATAAACATTCTTTATATTCACTCCAATTGTCAGTCCTGGGATCATATTTTCCGGGAAACACTACATTTGTCAAATTACATGCCATATTACTACTTAAAATAATTAATTTTCCTCAGTCACCATTAAAAGATACACGCCAGATCAAGTTGCAAAACAAACTCATTTAATCAAATATACCTTCCACATATATTACAATTTTACCTTCAACATTATCAATACATAACAGAAATCAAAATTTAACTTGAAGTAAAAATAGATCCGATTAGTTATGCAATCTCGGAATTCATTTTTTTTTTTTTTTTTATAGAAGAGGGGGCAAACGAGCATGTGGCTCACCTGATGTTAGTGACTACCGCGCCAGACGGGGAATTGCAGGTGCGTTGCCGGCCCTTTAGAAAGGAGTAAGCTCTTTTCTTGAAGGTCCCCAGGTCGTATCGGTCCGGAAAAATCACCGGTGGTAAATTATTCCACAGAGAGGTTGAGGTCATTGGCTCTGGTCACTCAGAACAACACCTATGTTTAATATGAACTTAACAAAGTTATCATTCTTAAGATGTTAACAATATCAGTATTTAATATTTGTAATAGTTTAAAAAATTTAACTTTATACCCAGCTAGTAAATTATTTTATAAAGTTATAAATTCGAATTCAATAGTTATTTTGTATTTAAAATCATTTGTTAGATTCATTTATTACAACTTTATATTTTGACTTTATAATCCACAGTTTTCAGTCTTAATCTTAAGTTAGTAGCTTCTATGTACTTTTTTTAGATAATAACATCTGGATTACTGGCGGTCCACCACTGTGCAATTTAAAAGAACTTTTCTTCCTCGCACTCCTTGTGGAATCGACTACCACCAGAGATTTTTCCAGACTGATAAGACTTAGGGACCTGCAAGAGCCTCCTCCTTTTTAAAAGGCCGGCAACACATCTGCAATTCACCTGGTGTTGCAGTTGTTTATGGGCGACGGTAATCACTTACCCTCTCATATAAAATAAATACTAATACTATAATCATTTATCAACAACATTGTTAGCAGAACAAAAATCAATGTCGCTGTAAATATTTAATACTTCTTACCTGTTTCTGTTTATCCAAAATTTGTTTTAAAGCATAATGAGCTCTTTGGCATTTATCTCTAAACTGTTTGAAACGTCTTACATACGCCAAGCATTCAACGCAAAGATATCCAGGCAAGCCATTTCCCATGTACGTCTAAAATATTGAGATAATATACTTTAGTTATACACTAGAAAATTAATAAGTTAACTTTAAGGAATAAATAAATAATTCTACTTTCAACCCAGACACTAAGTTGTATTCATGTCGCAGCTGCCCATTATCTATATTACACAATTTAACGTCAGTACTGAGACATACTGTACAAGCTTTTAAATCCAACATTTTAAAAAGATTAATAATAATCTCATTTCTAAAGTATTTCTAATTTACTTTTTAACGAAAAATAATGACATGATATCAACCACAACCATCAACAAATCAAGTCAACAACACAGAGTATACAAAAAGTACTCTGTGACTAGCTTTCTACTTTCTACATATTTACTACTACGAGTATACTTTTTCATTGGTCAACACTATGGAGTGTAGAAGTAAGGTACAGACTGTGTATTAAAAAGTATCCATAGAAAACCGTTAAATAAGGGTAGCGCCACTATAGCTACGGGCTAAATTTTAAAGAACGTGCCGAAAATATTAGTGGGATAGACGACCTTATCGAGGTTATATTTACTAAATAAAATTATTTTAGATTTTAGAACTACTGAGCCGTTTAGCAGCACACTTCAAACCGTCGACAACTGCGCTAGTAGTAGCTACTCCAGCGTTGTTGGGGAGAGTTTTTGAACTGTTATTTACTGCTTACAGATGACCACTTTTTGAACTATTCTACTAGGAGTTGGTACTCCTTACTTCTACACTCCATAGTCAACACCATGAAGGTTAGAGAACAGGAGAACGATCACTACGTACATAGCCTATATCCCGCCTGTCCTTGAATTATTGTGCGTGGATGTGCAAGTGGTTTAGCATCAGATCGGAAAAATACGACTGAAAATGACTTTTATTGACCGAACTTAGCGATCGCAGCGCTTCGTTAATGGCGTCCATATTTCTAGGACATTATTTTCTACGGCGACCGTTCTCCTGTTCTCTAACCTTCATGGTCAAAACTTAACAACCAACTAGGGATGTTTGATGACCATCGATGTTCGATAATCATCGATGTTTTAACATCGATTTTGACATGTGTCAAACATCGAAACATACATGTAAAATAACCTTTGAGTATTAAACCAAATAAACGGCATCGCAAGGCATACCCCTCTGTAAAAGGTACGAGAGCGACTCATACCCGTTATATAAAACTAGTTGATCCGCGTCGTGCGCCATTCCGAAGTGATCGTGCCACTAAGGACATTGACTAAGTGGTACACTACCATCGATCGCCAACCAGGGTTTACTCAAGAAGCGCTGACAGCATGAAAATTGAGAGCGGAGAGTAACCCAAATAAAAAAAATTATTGTACCTTGGTAATGGATGAAATAAAAACTAAGCAATTGACGGAATACCATGCTAGCAGCCAAAGGCATTATGTATATAACCAAAATGTCTTTTAGAACTTGCTTGGTACTCCGTCAATTGTTTTATTTTTATTTCGTCTATCACTAATGTACAATACAATTTCTTGTCAGGGTAACTCTCTAGTCTAAGTTTTATAACCGTTAAGCTTATATATATATATGTGTCGTTCATTGTAATAGTGAATTATCTCCATGCAATGAAGTTTTGAGAAATTAAGAGTTTTGTTAATTAACGCGTAGAAAAAAAACTACAAATGTTTATTCAATGCCTTATATTTTTTATTGTAGTTAAAAAATGAAATATTATAATAGTATATAGTTACTTAAAAATAAGACGAAGTTATTTTAATGAAACGAATTATAATTTTTTTTGTGGACTTACTTCACTGTTAAAGTGACTAGTTATACTTATTGTGATTTCGTTAAGTGGTTAATCGTAGGTTATTTCGTCATCAGACGAACGTTCATCAGCATTACGTGTGCTTGACCGTGTTGGAATGTCTACAGTAAGGTTTTTGTAAAATTGATGGTAAATTGGTGGAATGTATGGGAGATGATCAAGCATATCCTTCTTCTTAGCAATAGTGACTGGCCTTCTTGAAGGATAGAGTGGGCCTTGTTGAATATTGTACAAGTAAGCTGGTCGTCCTTGTTGCTTTTTTGATAGATCTACTTTGAAGGAGGGCATGTCAGCGTTGAGCGTGTCTTTAAATTGAAATTGTAAAGGATGATTCCTCTCAAACCTCAGCCATCTTATAATATTCAGCCAGTTGAAGTCGTAACCACAGGTTGTTTTTTTTCTGTTGGTAATAGATTTTTCTAATGCCACAGTGCTTATAAATTCGGAATTTTTTATTTCGGTTACAACAAAATGTGGTTCTTTGCGTTTGGCTGTTTTTATGATCTCAAACCATTGATCTGGGCTATAAATTTGTCCATGACGGCGACTTGCGCTCTCAATTATCCCAAATTCCCCATCATTAGGCAAATAAGAATGCCCGGACACTAAAAACTTGTGGTCTATGGTGGTTATACTAGTATCCGGGTCTTGTACGAGCTTTAAAAGGGAAAGGGTAGTAAGGGTACTTAATGTTTCGATTTTGTCCAGTGCAAGAATCGGAATACATGATGACGTGATTTTGTGTTACCGCGTGAGTTTTTAAATGTTTCACGAGACAGACTGCAATGTCTTGAGACCCTCGTCCTCCTTCTATCTCATTCCAGACGTTCATGTACCCTGTGTTGTTATTAAAACAATGTATTCCCAAATTATACAAATACAGATTCCTTTTATAGTATGCTACCGAAGTAGTTAATTTTGGGAAAGCTAAAGCTTTCTGCAAATCAAAGGTTAGTAAATATGCGTCATTAATCTTTTTAGCATCAATTTGTAGATTTTCTCTTGCCGAATCTGCCTTTCTTTGATGAAGTTCCTTTTGAACTTCAAACTCTTTCTTCATCGGTGCCTCTAATTTTAAAATTCAAGCTATCGCAAGTCTTATATGTATCCTGGTGCGGTGCCTTGAAATGTCGATTAAACTTGGTGTTAAAAACTTTATTATAATATTTTAATTTTTTTAGGTTCTGTCATTTCAGTCAAACATTTTTCTTTATATAGATCGTACATCTTTCGAATAGTTAGCCCAGGATTTAAAAACTTCCGGTTAGGATTACTTTTTCTTGTGTAATGGCTTTGGTACGCGGGAAAGCTTTGTATATGAACAATAATGTCAGAATCATCTAATTTTCGAGTACTAGTCGTGCCTCGTTTATCTTTACATTGCGAGACATCGCCTTTTGATAGACAGCGATATAATCTTCCATCACTGATTTGGAATGTTTTCAAAAAATATTTTTACATACCTACCAGTTGTGTCATAATATGAGATTTGATAAAATACTTAAACGAAACGTTTTTTCCTGCTCGTGACAGATCTTTAGGTCGTTTTCTATTAACAGATAATTTTTGCACTAATGCATATAGAAAGGCATTTTGCTGATTAAAGTCCTTTAAATTCCAAAATGATTCGAACATTTCTCTCCTTTCATTTTCTGTAAAAAGCGTATAACACTTTTTAGGACATCCACAGTCAATATTTTCGAAGATTTTGGTATTTTTCTCCACTCCCATTTTAGTTACATAACCTTTTCCACTATTACGCAATAACTTTCTTTTATTAACTGTCCAATTTTCCTTGTTGATTTACCTTTTTCTAGATTTAGATGTTCCAGGTTCTGATAGACTAGACGGCATCATAATATTTTCGTCACAACTTGTATCTGTTTCTGAAACAAGTATAAAAACGAAACCAATAAAATAATAGTGATTTCACTACTATTTTATTGGTTTCGTTTGGACGAGGACATAACTAAATAGAAAATATATTCTTAGATATCGTATTTTCTTGTCTATAAACTTGAAAGTTATCACAATATTTTTAGGTTAGAAAAACAACTAATAAAAATATAACTTACCAGATTCTGTATGAATTTCTCCAGGAATAGGCTGATATTCAGAACCAGAATCACTAAAATCTTCTGTATTAGACATATTGTATCAAAACCCCACAAAAACACCGACTTTGAAAATCCTTTTTTAATAATTATCACAACACGTACAACGGATGACAACAATCGGTCGCAATAAAAGTGAATAAACTCCGGACTTACTTCATTATAAAAGTGACTTGGGACATACTTCACTTTTATAGTGAATAACAATACAAATCTGTTCCTAGACTAAACAAAATAGCGACATCTACGTCACTTTAGTGGTATCAGTGGAGCTACTTCATTTTTATATTGAAAGATATGATACATTGTGAGCCCACTATGGGAAAATAATTTTTTTTTTATATTATGGAGTTACACCACTATTACAATGACCGACAACGTGGCACTACAATGGTGATTCTAATTTTATACACGGATAGGGCTAATGTCCATTAATCATATTAATTTTGATAGGTAAAAATAACTCGTAAATTGTAAAAAAAAAAATGTTTCAAACAAACTAAATAATAAAAAAGTAACTTAAATTGGGATCACCCTTGCAAAAATTAATTCATGTAATTACCTAGTTAGCTCAGAGTGGCAACGCGTCGTTTCGCGAGCTGGCAACTGCGCTATGCATCTGATACCTACTCATGATGGTCCGTATATACTGATGAACTGACACTCGCCAAACGCGCGGATTTTGTTTTTTAGGGTATCCAGTAGTGCAGATTATGCTGGTTCCATATGCCGTTTCTGGTGTACGTGCTTTCGTCAGTCCAACAAATTTAGAAAAAAAAAGTCATATCCTCTTCAATTTTACTCAGTAACCACTGACAATAATTCACTCTTATTAATTTATCACGCATATGTACTTTTCTAACATTGAATGGGTACCACTTTTCGCGCTTTAAATATCCGCATATTCAGCTGCTGTGTAGTTCGAATGTGTATTTGCCACCACGATCACATGTTTACACTAGCACTAATAACACAAATAAAAGCGTCCGTATCGCAATAGATGTAAACGTATCTACTAGACTAGAAATTCTTCTAGACTAGAAAGTCTTTATCGCAGTACCATAGCCTAATTACTATCTTAATTACTATACAATACGCTGCTTTATTTTGCACAATGTACGCGGTATCCCTTATTACATAATGTCGCTAACACACTTCACTTTACAAGGTACACATCTAACGGTTATACGTATTAACAGCGATGTCTGCTCGCCGGTTATAATTCAACTGCGCGATGTTCCTTCTTTTTTGCGCCCGAAGCATATATGGGCAACCCTCCGGAAAGCGGGGGAGGGAGGTTGGGAATGCTCTTAGCATACCACGCAGCCGGCTGCGTGGTTATGTGGTGACTTTTACCCACTAAACCCAACCTTTTAGGAATTGGCTTAACGATCTGACTAGAGATCTCTAAGCCGTATACGAACGCGACCCTTCTTTGCAGAAAGGAGGGCGCAAGCGGCGAAAAGCCGCTTAGAAGAGGCCTAACTAAGGCAGATTAAAGGATGTGTTAGTAGGGCCTGGGAGGAAGAGTTCAGGCGCCGAAAGCTTGTTGGGGGGTTGTGGATAGGGGCTCATAGGAACTGTTCACGAATGAGATGATTTGGTGGGTGAGGCTGAAAAATCTTTGAGAGTGAGGGGGAGCTCGAGCTTCGGAAAGATTTTGGACTATTTGAAGTTCATTTATAGCTTTGGGCTTAGCATGTGCGAAAATGGGGGCCGCGTAGGTCATGACAGGTCGTATGCAGACCTTATATAGGGTTCGCTTGTTGCGGAGTGACATTTTATTACTTTTTATGTTACTTTTTGTGTCTGCCCAACATGCTGTTGAGCCTACCCATGTAAAATCGTGCGGTGTGAGTAACCTTCTTGATATGGGGCTCGAAAGTGAGCCTTGCATCAAGGGTGACGCCCAAGTATTTGGCTTTAGTTTGCCATGGGACAGGGGTTCCTAACATCCTGATTGGTGGAGTGGTGGTGAGATGACGTCGTTTATATTTGAAGCAAACGGCGGAGCTTTTCTCCGGGTTTACGTCGATACGCCATTTTTGGAACCAAGCTCCTAAGTCGCTTACTGACTTTTGGATCTTGTTCCGAATCTGTGGTAGTGTCTGTGGTAGTGAATCCTTTAGAGTAAAGGTCTGTCATCTGCAAAGAGGGCTAGTTTAACACCATTCGACGGGATAGGGATGTCGTTGGTGAATAGTATATATAAGAGGGGAGCAAGCACAGAGCCTTGAGGGACACCGGCTTTTATTTGACGAGTAGAGGATAGCGTGCCTTCGTGTCTAAAGCGAAAGGTACGATCCTTCAGATAGGAGGCTACAAGGCGAACGAGACGGTCCGGGAGGCCTAAGTCGTACAGTTTGTAGATAAGGCCCTCGTGCCAGACTCTGTCGAAAGCCTTGGCAATGTCAAAGAAAACCGCGATGGTTTTTTGACGACGAGGATAAAAACCGCTGAGGATGTATTCCACTATGCGGTGAACTTGCTGGGGGCATGAGTGTTTGGCTCGAAACCCGAATTGTTGTGGGATGACAAGAGGGTCGCCGTCTGTGGGAAACAAATGGCGCCTCAAGCGCACGAGAATAACTCGTTCGAAAAGTTTGCCTATGGCCTTGAGGAGGCTGATGGGACGGTGATTGGAGGGGAGGTGGTTAGGTTTGCCTGGCTTGAGAATGCCAATGACAGTTGCCTCTTTCCAAAAGGTGGGAAAGTCACTGAATTCGAAGCAGGCGTTAAAGATAATGGCCAGTAAGGCGATTACCTGCTCCGGGAAGTGTTTGAGGGCTTGGTTGGAGATACCATCCGCACCCGGTGCTTTTTTGGGCTTAAGTCCTTTGATGGTGGATGAAATTTCATCTTTGGACACAGTGATAGGGTCAGAGATGGTAGGGGGCGAGTTCCTCCGACGGACCTCGTCCTCCACTAGTTGGACGCGTATGGGGTCACTGGGTTGTGAGCTAGGAGAGCATTGAGCGGCGACGCTGTCAGCGAAGCACTCGGCCTTTTCTTCGTCCTCGAAGGCAATGGAGCCGTTGGGACGAGACAGAGGGGGAGTATGCGTTATAGCGTCTATCCGGAGGGCTCTCGCCATCTGGTAGTACGCTGTGTGGGAGGGAGAGATTTTCTCCATGAGATTGCCCTTTTCGTGGTCTCTGTAATCTTGGAGGCGGTAACGGAGTTTGCGTTGAAGGTGGTGGGCCGCGAGTCTATATTCAGGAGTGGGATAGCGTGCAGCTCTACAGAGGCAGCTTTTTTGGCTTTTAGCAGGTTGCTAATATCTAGGGGAAGACTAGTTTTAGCAACCGGGATAACTTTTTCATTCCCTTTAAGAGAGGATGTTATAAGTGAGGTGAGATTTTCGACCGCGGTGTCTATTTTCCCCGTGCTGTCGAGGGCGTCGGAAGAAAGGGTTATGAGAGGGTCCGGAGAGTCTATAGCCGAGGCTAGAGACTTTTTGAAGCCCTTCCAGTTGGTGTAGGTTTTGGAAGTGGGAGTTGGAGATGGCTGATGGCCCAGAAGGAGGTACAGGACGGTGGTCGGATCCTAGATCATCGAGAGACTCGATTGCTCTAAGGTTAAGGGAGACTCCTTTAACTAGAGCAAAATCTAGCACGTCAGGAGCGTAGTTAACAATGTAGGGATAGTGGGTGGCAGCGAGGGGGCTGTAGACAGTCAGGTCGAGAGACTGAGTGATATTGAGCAGCACCCTGCCACTACTGGTAGTAGTGCGGCAGGTCCATTCAGTATGCTTGGAGTTAAAGTCTCCAAATATACGTGCTATAATGATTGACTGGTGTCCAGTCATAGGTAATCTAGCGATAGTGGCTTCCATACTGGTAAGCGTCGGAGTAGATATGTGGGAGCAATGAAGGGACGTTTTGTAATAGATGGCAGTGCCGCCGCCTTTGCGGTCGGGTCTGTCGTTACGTAGAAGTGAATAATTTTTAATAGAAAGGCTGGTTGCGCGGAAAAACCATTCGTATTTATTTTATATTTGACGGTAGGTTGCCAAGTCGGTTATCCCTTTCCAAAACGATATCATTCATACCCTCCTATCGACACATCGGGGTGGTGGGGTGGAAGGGGAAAGAAGGTGATTCTAGAATGTCACGTAATCATCGGAACCAAAGATATATAAGGCACGCGCGACCGACGCGCAGCTCTCTTCCCGCCGCGCTCGTTGTTGGAACCACACCACTAGTAGAACCGCTTTAGCCTGGAAGCAGTCGAGCTCCAGGAAACCCGCCTCACCTCGTGTGAGATATAGTCGCGCACCGCCTCTCTCCGGAGTGTTCCAGAAGAAGTTCCAGAAGTCGCAGCTATAGTGCTCGACCGAATAGAAGAAACCCCGGTGAGTCAACATTTCCTAATAATACTGCCTGCTTGATATAATTGTTTAACCCGCTCCAATTTTGTGTTTTCCTAATCAAGCAGGATTCCTTTCATCGATTTGGCAAATAATAGTTCATTTTAGGGAAGAGCGAGTGCATTGTACTGCGCGCTATAGTCGTCGTTATATAAGCGTAGAAATATTTAGTAGATACAGTCCACTTTGATTAATAGCTCGCGTAATAGGTTTTAAGGTTCGACCGGGGAATTAGACTTCGGCAACCTTAGACACGTGACTCCACCAAAGGCCTTTAGAGACCTTGGGGCTGAGGTGGGTCTCCTGAAGGAGCAGGAGGTCGGCTTCGCGATCTCGAAGAAATAGCCTAAGCTCTGGGAGGTTATTTCGCAAACCGCGGCTATTGAATGAAACAAGCGACAAACCCTTTGGTTTGATACGACCGTGAGATATTGCGGGAGCAGAGGGCTCCGGGATAAGTCGCTCGCGTCCGTAGGCTTCGACCACCTAATCCTAGGCCCACCCTACACGTTTCCCCCGGCTGGTGCTAAAAGAGCGACAAAGCCGAAAGAACAGACTCGGCTACTCGCCGTGTGGTAGCGGCGTAAAATATGCCACGCCCTAGTTTTCGCACCATGAGGCAAAAAGTAAAAGAAATGGCCCCGAGTTCCCGACGCCCCTTTAATGGG